TCGGGGTATTCCGTATAAAGTGTAAACCATAATCAACGGGAGGATTAATTTATAAATAGCTTCGGGCCGGATTATTTAAAAGAAAGCAGCCCAGGAACACAACCCAACCCATTAGCCCAACTTTCTATTAATAGAAATGATAAGGGATGGGAAGACTTATCCTCTCATTTTTGGAGCACCATTCACGTAAGGTTGAGATCTCTCCAAGGGTCTTCACACGTTCTTTGAGCAAGGAGGAAGAAAGAGGGGGATTCCGGGAAGAAGAAAGCTCGATTCTAGGTAACCGAATGCTAATCCCGTTCAAACTAGTTATTTACCTCGTTTTGTGAATATGATTTTTAAGAAATCATATGTGGGATTAATGAGGATGTTCTACACGTTTAAAAGTGTAGAAATATGATATAAAGCGTTGGTAATTAACTTAGAAGAGTTGTGGAATCGATAGGAATCGAAACCGCCGGAAACCGCCACTTCTAGGTGCTGTTTTCGTGCAGCAGAACCCGAAAGCCGGGCAGCTTTTGCAAAAGCCGGGCGGCTTTTGTCCTCTGCCAGCCAAGGTGGATTCAGATCATTCCCGATCGAAGGTTTAACGACGGGGCTTCAATAGGCAACCTTGCTGGACTTATTTAAGGTGAGGATGGCTGACTATATTGCTTATAATTGTTGGGTTAATTTCATAAGATTACCTAAGATTACTAAATGAGTTTTTTCATGGATTATTAAGTGATTAATAATGCCGATATGAAACGAATGATGTATAAGTAAGTGAAGCATGATATACAAGTTTATGGGATAAATTGTGTATGATTATGTGATAGGAATATGAAGGATTGATAGTTGAAGTAACTATAAAATATTGTGATAAAATATACTTTTACTTCATGTATAAGAATCATGAACGGATAAAAGTGATATTTTTGATATTGAGATTAAATGATATTCGGATTAAAAAAAATCAAATGGAATGAACCTTATAGCTGAGAATTAAGAACTTGGTTGCTTAAAGATTATTGGACTAGTAATGAATTTACTAGCCGGAAATGTTGGTATAAAAAAAAGTGATAGAACAAATCCTAAGGTCTTGGATTGTGAAAGATGTGCCTTAAGTAGTCATATGAAATGTCTTAAGGTAGAAACGGGTAAACGCTAAGTTACCGTAGGAGTAGACCTCAAAGGTTACTCATAGTAGAGGAACTCTAGGCATAGAATTTGCTTAGTGAACTAGTATCGTGACTAGAGGAAGCCTCTAGCACGATGAAGAATGACTGGAGGAAGCCTCCAGCTTTCATGTAGAACGACTAGAGGAAGCCTCTAGCGTAATGTAGGATGACTAGAGGAAGCCTCTAGCATAACGTAATGTGACTGGAGGAAGCCTCCAGCACAACGTATGTATGGTGATTAGAGGAAGCCTCTAACACCAAGTGGAGTGACTAGAGTAAGCCTCTAGCACGACAAAACATGACTAGATGAAGCCTCTAGCATGACAAAGTAATATAGATAAGTGTGGCTTGAAGCGTGTAGAACGACTAGAGGAAGCCTCTAGCGTAACGTAGGATGAGTAGAGTAAGCCTTTGGCATAACGTAATGTGACTAGAGGAAGCCTCTAGCACAATGTATGTAAGGCGATTAGAGGAAGCCTCTAACACCAAGTGGAGTGACTAGAGTAAGCCTCTAGCACAACAAAACATGACTAGAGGAAGCCTCTAGCATGATAAATTAATATAGATGGGCGTGGCTTGAAGACACGGGGAAATGGGTCGAATGTGTTCAAAGTAAACATGGGCCTACGGGCCGACTACTTGACTTTATATATAAAGTAAGTATATTTTAAAGGAGGGTAACCAAGGGTTATGGCCTATGATATAATATCACTCTATTTGAGGGTCTTAGAAATTGAAACATGAATTATATTCAGTATAGTTGTCATTGTACTTGTCAAATGCTTCCAAGTACTGACCTCCCCTTCACGGGGGAGGCCACCTCACAGTTTTTCAGGTAGAAGCTAGAGCTTGCTTCCTGTTCCCGTTTCTTCGGGTGATCCATGGAGAGAAGACGTGGTTCATGTTTCTTCCAGTTCTATTTTGATATAAATAAAATAATGCTCATGGACTATTTTTAAATTATAAATGATTTGGGAGCCTGCGTGCTCATGTTCGCCCTGTGTGGCCTTTTACTTTTTAAAAGTATTTGTATTCCGCTGCGTATATTTGAAATGCTTTATTTATGATTGTTTATGGATGTACTTGTGTGAATGGTATTCATGTACGCCTAGCATGGTTCGAGTAGGGTGAACTGCGGTTGCCTTAATCGGATTATGCGGCGGTTGTTAGCGCGTCCGGCCAGACCGGGGCGTGACAACCAGCTTCTGAAAACTGATTCTGATTCTGCTTCTGCTTTCAAAAAAGAAACATAAGCAGAATCAGTTCCAAACACCCCCTAAATAGGTCTAGTTTTGTTGAGGTGGCAGAGAGAGAAAATAGACAATGTTTAGCACAAGGTCTCAATTGAGACCCTCCGTCCAACCCTCTACCAAAGCTAAAATTGTGTTTGTGGGCCTTTAAACATTCCTAGCCACTTATTTAAATGATGAATGCAGCCTTTTCCTTTTACTATATATTTCTTGGAAAAAGCTATTGCTACCAAATTTGTACCCCATTTTGTACCCCCTCCCTATATTTGTGGTTCACAAAAGCATTTCATTAATATGGAGCAATTCATTTAATGTGTTGGGCTTTTGTGAACCACACATATAGGAATGGGGTACAAATGAGGTAACAAATGGGGTACCTCTAGCAAAATTGATATTTCTTTCCTCTTTTTTATTTTCTTTTCAACTCCTTGTATTGGAGAGAGATATGAATGGCCTCTCACTTTTTAAATTTTGGCTCACACACTCAATGGACCAAGCTAATATTTTTGCCACATCAACAACAATGGACTCCAAGGATTGGAGATGCTCTAAGAAACTAGTATTTGTTTGATTAGACTAGAAGTACTAAAGTTGACTTTTGGGACCGAAAGCGGGGGCGCTTGTCCCACCCCCTGGTTCCTTTATTGTTTGCCGCTAAGACGTGTTTGCTTATCATTAAAATAGTAGTATAGGGTAATTAGTCCAATTAATGATTTCATAATACAAATGAAGGTAATTAGTCCGATTAATGATTTTATAATACAAATAAATTATCGTCTAAATAACATAGAAAAAATGGACAAAAATAATCTCAACTATTGGTAATCTGCTTAATACTATGTATAATCCAAAGTATCAATTATCTTAAAATAATTCCAACTATTTCGAGAAGATTTTTCAATAGGTGGGATTATTTTGAGATAATTGATATTTTGAATTATTTCAAGGGGGTCACTTATAATTGAAATTATTCTTGTCCATTTTTTCAATAACATATGACTAATGCAACTTTATTAGTATCAAATGCTAATATGTTTTTAGGCTAAAGGGTCAAATAGGCCCTCGAACTAACTTAAATAGTGCAATTCACCCCTTATATAGGAGGCTCTGTCCGGCCGTTGCCAATTGGGGCGATTCCCGATGGAATTCTTTGATGAAATGTTTTGAGAATCTTCTTCATTAAGTCTAGTTTATCCATACTAAATTTCAGATAAAAACTCAACCGGGAAGACAGTCAAATGATTTTCTGAAATGTGCTGTGCTATTTAACATCGAAGTATCTTCAAAAATTCATTTGACTGTCTTCTCGATTGAATTTTAGCTGAAATTTGGTATGAGTAAACTAGACTTAATGAAGAACATGCTCAGAAAATTTCATTAAAAATTCCCACTGGGCACCGCCCCAATTGGCGACGGTCGAACACAGCCACCTATATAAGAGGTGAATTGTACTTTTTAAGTTAGTTCGATGACCTATTTGACCCTTTAGCCATGTTTTTATAATACATAATAAAAAAACATAGTTACCATTTTAAAATATTTATACTGCACCCCATTTATACACGTCTTAATTCATAAACACCATTTCGTTAGGGTGCTTTTTGAACACATGGTTTTATAGACAAAACATGGTTTGCGTAGATCATATGAATCATAGTGAACAGATTATGATAGACTAGGAGTCTAGGATCACACGTAAAAAGATACGTAGGAAGTAGGATGTTTTTACTTTGGACTGTAATTTGTCCCAGACCAGACCAGTCCAGACCAGACCAGTTCAGATCAGACCAGACCAGACTTGGATAGTTAAAAAAATTCAAAGAAACGAGACCTTACCAGACCAGACCAGACCCGTTCAGACCAGACCAGACCAGATCAGACCACACCAGCAAATTACAATCCAAGTAAAAACATCCCTACTAGGAAGTACGAAGTATATCGGAGTTGCTATATTGTGGAGGCGGTGTAGGGTGAACATCCTGTATTCCTGCTCCCAGAATTATATGAAATGTAAATGAAACTCTTGAAATATATTGAAATGTATTTCAAATGTATATTGAAATATATGTAGGGTGTATTGGAGTAATATAGAAGCATGAACAATTTAAAAAAAAAAAGGAAAACTGTCAAATAGGTCCTCGAACTTTCATAAAAAAGTCAATTAAGTCCTTCTATAGGAGACTATGTCCGGTCGTCGCGATTTGGAGCGGTTCCCGGTGGAATTTTTTGATGAAATTTTTTGAGCATCTTATTCATCAAGTCTAGTTTACTCATACCAAATTTAAGCTAAAAATTCAATCGGGAGCGCATTCAAATTAATTCGAGAACGCATAAATGCGCAGTTATCTTCAAGAATTAATTTGAATGTGTTCCCGATTGAATTTTTAGCTAAAATTTGGTATGAGTAAACTAGACTTGGTGAATAAGATGCTAAAAAAATTTCATCAAAAAATTCCAGGGGAACTGCCCCAAATCGCGACGGCCGGACAGAACCACCTATAAAAGGACTTAATTGATCTTTTTATGAAAGTTCAAGGACCTATTTAACTGTTTTCCCTAAAAAAAAAATACAGAAGTACGAGGTATCACTTAATAAACACGTGGCAGGTAAACGGAAATGGATTGTTCTAGCAAGCACGGCGGTTAGTTTTTTCCGACTCTTCCGGCACAAGACAGAACAACAACCCTTCTCGATCAAGGCTCAACAATGGCTTCCTACGGTTACGGCGGTAGAGAATCTTTCTCCCCTTCAGCTCCGCCCTTACCCGCCGCCACTGACGAGCCCCAGCTTTCTCACCCATATCATCCCGCACCTTCTACCTCGTCCCTCCACCCCCCGACAAATTCCTCCGTTCCCAGCTATGCTCCGACAACTTATTCCGTTCCCAGCTATGCTCCTCCTCCTCCTTCGTCTCAGCCTCATCTTCAAAGTAGCAGCAGTTATGGACCGAGTCCATCGTATGGGTACGACTCGCATATTGCTTTTCCTCCGGGCACTCATCCGGATGTCATACGGAGCTTCCAAATGGTGGATTCGGACCGTAGCGGTTTCGTTGAAGACAAGGAGCTCCAACAGGCCCTCGCTTCGGGTTACCAAAAGTTCAGTCTCAGGACAGTCCGTTTGCTAATCTTTCTCTTTAAGAACCCAAATGAATCTTCTCTCAGAACTGGTTCGTTATCTTTCCTTAAGTAATCATTTATGCAATAAAACTTTTTGTTTAGAGCTGAATAGATGACATATTCGTGTAATTTCTGTTATTTGTTTTTGCTTTTGGTCAACAGGGCCCAAGGAGTTTGCAGCTCTGTGGAGTTATCTGGGGCAATGGAGGGTGGGCAGTTTTTCATCCTCAATTAGTTTTATTGAATTTATTTCTTTTTTTTCAAAATTAATTAATGTCAGAAAATTTGTTATTTTCAAACCACTGTGACCGGTTCCTCTTTCATTCGGAGGGTTATTTGAGCCTCAATTGGTTCAATCCATTTATGTAGAATTAGAATTTAGTTATGGATTCGCAGCAGCTAAGGAAATGACTTACCTAAATGCAATATTTTCCACAAAAAAGATTTAAAACCTTGGGCTATGATTTTATGCAAGGATATTGTAAACTTGCACATTGTAATATTACAATATTAAGGTACAACTCTAAACTTGCATATTATAATAACCTAAGGACGTTTCAAGGTCATTTGCAGCATTAGAATAGGTGCAGAAAGATGTTTTGTTATGTTATTTGAACTATTAAGGTAATGATTTATTTGATTTACTTTGATTTTGTGAAGGATAGTGAGGTAAGTTGTTTCCCATTGCTAGTAGTTTCTCATGAGTACTTCTCTCCAATATCTCTCTTACATCCACACTTAGTTAGTGCATGTATTTCAATCGAACTGCTGTTTAGGAAACCTTTGAGAGGTTCGACAGAGATAGGAGTGGGAGAATTGATGGAAGAGAACTAAGAGATGCTCTCTACAGTCTTGGGTATTTGGTGCCTCCTCCTGTCCTTCAACTTCTGGTTTCCAAATACGATGGCGACAGTGCTGGGCTGGACTTTGATAGTTTTGTTGAGTAAGTCTTTCTTTTTCTGTCCCAACCAGGCTTTTGATCTTCTCCACACAAGAAGATAGAACAATTTTCGGTTGTATATGTTTGCCATGTTTTTAACTAACTTCGATTTCTTGTGGATGCAGATGTGGGATGATTTTTAAGGTACTCTCCCTCCTTTTGTGAATTGATTTCAAATGAATGGTCTACTTGTTTCTCACGATTTATACAAACCAAATCCAAAAATTTCTAGGAAAAATGCAATTTGAGTAGCTCACTTCAAAGGGGTTTCTTCATCCCAAACAAGTGATATATTTCTTATGAAGAAAACTCCAATGGGGTGTTTGGTTCATGTGACCTAAGGTTACCTCCAGGAAGACCATGTGAGGTTGCGAGAATCATTACCTTAAGTTGTTTGGTTTATGGAATGTGTTACTAATATAATTTATAATAAAGATAAGGGTCAAAACTGAAATATTCCAAAATATTACCAAACTAATCTTACTACGTGGATATAATCTCATGTCGTTGTGGTAATAGTAATATGAAAACGTGAAGCAAACATGGTAATCTCAGCTTATGTTGGTCATACACTTACCTTGGATAATTGGCACTGCTAAGTCAAGAGTACATAAAGTATTTCTCGCACATACAACTCTTTGTGGACTACTTTGAGTTATAACCATATAATAATATATCTAACCAATGTGTTATTTAATAAATAGATTAAGTCTGTATGCAAGGTTATCATACCCAAAGCAGCGTACTGGAAATGTGCACTATTAATATGCGGAGTAGGGAAGAAATGTCCCAGGCCTGTATGAAAGGTTTTTGCACTATTATTTGTTTTGTTGCTGATATGGGCTGAATCTTCTGAATTTTCTGAAAGGAAAAGCATTTGGTAGAATCCATTAAAGGCAAATGTGTTAGTGAAAAGCTAATTATTTTATTGATTAAAGGAATAAGCCTGATAAGGATACCAAAGGGAGTCTTGATCTATGAAAAGGCTGGGCTTAGTCTTTATATGTTACCCCTTCAACAAGAACAACAAAATCTAAGTCTTAGTCCCAAAAGAGTTTGGGGTTGGCTAACATGAATCGACATTTGAAATCAAAGTTAAATAGGCAGCGATATTCATATTTAGTCTTTGTGTTACTGCAAGCACCCTAAAAATTTATTCCCGTTTTTTTTACCAAGAATTGTGAGGTTGAGATTTTTTCTCCAATTTATATATAAACCATAGGTCTTTAACCCCACACTTTTACTTTCTTAGTAATCATCTCAAGTCATAGCGGGAGGAAAACATTAGGATGGAGGGAGTACTAATACTAGTAGTTAACTAAAGTGTAAGAGCAATAACTCATAAATAGCAGCGTGACATTCAACTTTCTGAGGATCTTTTCTGTATGAGATTTGACACTCCTAAAATATTTGAATTTGATGGCATACCTCATCATGCTTTCCCAACATTTTTTTCCTTTTTTTTTGTGAATGTACAGAACAATGAATCAGCTTGCAACCCACCTGTTGGTGTTTTACTGTTTTTGTTTTTGCAGGGTTTGACAGAGAAGTTTAAAGAGAAGGATGTGGGGTATACAGGATCTGCTAAGTTGAGTTATGATGAGTTCCTGTCAATGGTCATCCCTTTTCTCGTGTCATACTAGGAACAGAAGGACGAGGACTGAAGTAACCACACTCTCAAGGAAAGGTTTGAATCTTGTAATTTGGGGTTGGTGTTCTCGAGCTGGATAGCATTTTTTCATGCCACTTCTCTTTGCCTTCAACTTTCATGTATCAAGAAGGAAAAAGAACGCTTGAAATGCTCCAAAAAAAAAACGCTTGATATGTTTGAATGAAAAAATGGAATTTGTATGTGATTTAACTTATTGAGTGATATACGAACTTAAAGGCTAATTTGAACCCTTAGAAGCTGTTCTCTTCACCTGATCTGAATGTTTCTGATCTGAATTTTTTAAGTTCTGATCTGATCTGAATGTTTCTGATCTGATCTGAATCTTTCTGATCTGGTCTGATCTGATCTGAATGTCCCTGATCTGATCTGAATGTTCCTGATCTGATCTGAATGTTCCTGATCTGATCTGAATGTTCCTGATCTGATTTGAATGTTTCTGATCTGATCTGAATCCTTCTGATCTGGTCTGATTTAAATATTTCTAAAATTATAATTATAATTATAATTTTTATTATAATAATTAGAAATGTAATTACACATATATAATTTAAATATAATTATAATTATAATCATAATTATAAAAAAATTATAATTATAATTATAATAATTATAATAGGTATAATTATTATTATACGTATTACACTAGTTATAAATATAGCTATAATTAAAGGAAACGGTCCAGCTCAGCTGGTCGCCTACTCACTCTCCCTTATGGGAGGTCTCGGGTTCGAAACTCAATGGCGTGAGTTTCAACCTAGTTTACTTCAGGGCCTCCCAGATCCCCTCCCCCAGACGTCTCCTAGAGTAAACAAAAAAAAGCTATAATTATAATTATAGTTATATTTTTAGTTATAATTATTTCTATAATTATAATTTTAATTATAATTATAATATTTATTTCTATAATTTTAATTTTAATTACTCCGTGTAATATAACAATAACAAAAAAATACTAATAACAATAACAACAACCATAATAGTAATAAGAATAATAATAATCATGATAATAATTGTAACACCGCCCCCAAGTATTTGTACTTTATCAAATTATGTATTGAACCCAAGAGATGAATAAACGCATTTTACGTGATCGTGAATTTTTATCATTTCTTTTGTGTGAATAGTAAAATTCACGTGGGTCCCACACTGGAAGTGGGGGCCGCCCGATTTTATCGGGACCACATATTATATTCATTTGGGTCAAGATAATATGTGTATAATGGTGGACATCCTTGTTGGGCCATAGAAGTTATGTGAGTAACCTGTTGGGCATATAAAGCCCATTTATCGGTACCGAAGTAATATCAGATAAAAAGCCATAATGAATTATGGGGACCATCAAATTAGAAGTTGGGGAATATACATTCATTCTTATAGCCAATAATAATTTGAAGAATGATAGATATTTCATTTTACCCGATAAAATGAAATATTGTTAAAACAGTCTGGAAAATACAACTTTCGGGGCCGATTATACATCTCGGGTCACAAAGGGATGACCTCTCACATGAGTGGGGGCCATCCCCACGTTTTTGGTCTTGCAAAGGGCAAGAGGAGCCGCACATAGAGCTGGTGAGGGAGGCTTGAAGTGATTGAGGGACAAAATGAGAAGGAGAGGGGACCCTCCTCTCATATTATTGCTAATAAGTCAAAAGGGGAGCTTCCATCACCCCCACACTTCACCCACTCGGCCATACCACCTTCCAAGGGAGAGAGAACCTCTGCAAACTCCATTTTTACCCACCATACACGCTCCAAGCTAAGGGGAAGAAGAAGGAGAGGAAAAGAGAAGAGAAAAGAGGAGTTTAGGTGGGAACACTTGTAGCTAACAAGGTAACGACCTCATTAATCCCATTTCCTCTCTTTAATCCTATTACATACTCCTAGGATAGCTCTACACATGTAAAGGTGTAGGATGGGAGTTGGTGAGTTGGTCTAAACCCAAAACGAGCTTTGAGAGCAAAGTTGACGGGTTTGCCGGAAAATAACCTTTTAGAGGTTATTGGTGTTGACATGGGTTTTATGATGATAAAACCTTGTTATTAACTTGTATAAGGTATTCCAAGAACTTTCACGAAGTTGAAGGGGTCGCCGGAGTTGTCGCCGGAGTTCATTGAAGTTCACCGGAGTTTCACCGGAGCTCAATCGGGAAGGGCTAGAACTCCATAAGCTTCATTAAGGTGAGAAGACGGCTATATGCTTTATAACTTTTGATTGAGGCATGAGATTACCTAAAGTAATCAAGTATATGTTTTACGGAATGATTAAAGTTAATCAAGTATTGGCTTATGCCATGATTATATATAAACCAAAGTTGAAAAGCATGTTTTGTATGTTTGGTGATTAAAAATGTGATAACTTATTATGTACAATGATCCAGGAGTCAAAAATGGTATTTTTGGATCAAGGACTTCAAGTAGAATATGCATGTAAAATTTCACGTTAATCGGACTCCGTTTGGGTGGTCAAACGGGCGTTGACCGCCAAGTCAACTACAATACCCGACCGGGTATCTGCTGAAAAATTGGCTCCAAGGGCTGCTGCCTCCTATACTCGATCGAGTATGGATAGGTACTCGATCGAGTATGCCTTGGAAATTAGCCTTACGGGCTCCTGTCTCCTGTACTCGACCGAGTATTGGTGGGTACTCGATCGAGTATTGAGTTATACTCAAAACGGGTAGTTTTTGAGTGGGTTAACGTGGACCGATCAGGCGGGACCCGTCCACGTTGGTTACTAAGGATTGTTATATGACTATAGGACCAGGTATTGTCCATAGTTGAGTAAACGAAAGGTTAGCCATATCCAGGTTAGGGTTTGGTTAGAAATAAGGTTGAGGTTGAGTATCCTCGGGACGGTAAATGATCCTAAAACTCGGTTGAGGTTGAGTATCCTCGGGACGGTAAATGATCCTAAAACTCGGTTGAGGTTGAGTATCCTCGGGACAGTAAATGATCCTAAAACTCGGTGAGGTTGAGTATCCTCAGGATGGTAAACAATCCTAAAACTCGGTGAGGTTGAGCATCCTCAGGACGGTAAACAATCCTAAAACTCGGTTGAGGTTGAGTATCCTCGGGACGGTAAATGATCCTAAAACTCGGTTGAGGTTGAGCATCCTCGGGACGGTAAATGATCCCAAAACTCGGTTGGGGTTGAGTATCCCCGGGAGGGTTAACACTCCTGAAACTCGGTAGGATATTATGAAGGTAGAATGTAGCTCTTAAGCTAGGCATTCAGGAATGAAAGGGGAAAGGTTGAGTGAGTACCTTGTCTCTAAAAGACTCTTTTGTGAGAAAATGACCTACGGGTCAAGTATTTTACAAGTATATACACTATGTATTATCTTGGGAATGGGGTGACAATGGTTACACCTATAAGTATATGTACCACCCTATTTTTGGGTCTCGTGTCTGAAACATTAGTTATTCCTCATATAGCCTGCTTGTCACTAGTACTTCTATGGAGTACTGACCCCTTCGGGGGCCCTCACATTTTTCAGGTTAAGGCTAGAGTCCTACTACCTGCACCTTTGCCTAGGGTGACTGATCAAGGAGGAAGACGTGGTTCGTGCTTCCATTCATCTTCAAAACTGATAAACTGCTCATGGATATTTTTAACAATGTTTTCTATTAAAACATTTGGGGGCCTGCGTGCCCGTATTTGCCACGTGTGGCTCAGCATCAAACATATCTTATTTTCCGCATTTGTTTGACTAATATATATTGATGTTGATTGTATGGGTTTACTAATCGGCTTGGCAATAGAACTCAACGGACGCCTTGTATGATTTGATAAGGATGAACTACGTTGTTCTTATTGGGTTGTACGGCGGTTGTCTACGTGGCACGGATGCGGTCCGGGGCGTGACAATTAAATGGTATCAGAGCCATCGATTTCTAAACTATATAATTAACCTCTCAATATAGTATCATCAAAAAAAGTTTTGAACAAAACCATGAGCAAAAGTTTTTGTACTTAAGGAACCGTTGGAAACCAAGTTATTGACCTCTTATTGTTAAGACGGTACCCTTAACAGTTTGTTGGCCATAACGTTGGACCAAGTGGTGTCTTTTGTACTATTCCGTCAATTGACATTGATACGAGTCTAACGGCTCATTCCAAATTTCTTTCAGAAATGGAGGGTAGAGGCATGGCTACGAGGAACAACCCGAGAGGGCAAACTCCGGTGACGTCCGAAGGGGCTAGCCAGGTTGCATCTCGGGGCGCGAGAGGCGGTAGGAGAGGCCGTGGAGGCCGTGGAGGCCGTGGAGGCCGGGGAGGCCGTCGGGCTCAAACCGTGAGCGATGGCCATGTTAGCTCGGTGCACGGAACTCACACCGAGGATTATGACTCTACATATGTTCCCGAGACGGAACATGAGGAGACCCCATATGATGGGGGTGATACGTATACTGATGATGACAACGATGAGAGTGATGCCAGATTCGCCCAGATGGGTGAACTGTTTGAGTGGTATCAAAAGGAGAAGTTGAGGAGAGATCTTAGGCGCCAAGCTAGGCGTGCCTCTCAGGGGGCTTCAGGTCACGGAAGCCGGGGAGCTTCAGTGGCCATTCCTGTGGCGACACAGGGGGTACAGGGAGGAGGTTTCTGTGTAAGAATCTCCAAATACCTCAAGGAGGCTAGGGCCTTGGGGTGCAAGTCATTTGATGGCAAGGGTGATATATCGGTGGCTGCCGATTGGATAAAGAAACTAAATGAGGCTGCCAGGGATATGCAGATCGGGCTTGATACAAAGCTGACAGTTGCTACCAGGCTATTGGAGGGAGTAGCCGCGGTATGGTGGGAAGGCGTGGAAGGAAAGTTCCACGGTGAGACCACCTGGGAGAAATTTGAAGTAGAATTCTATAATCAGTACTACTCAGAGTTCGAGAAGAACCAAAAGAGGAAGGAGTACATGACCTTGGTACAAGAGGAGGGTTGCTCGGTGAGGCAATTGGAACAGAGGTTCCGGGACTTGGCACGATACATACCTGAGTACGCCATGGATGAGAACCGTATGGCTAATCACTTCTGGGATACCCTACAGTTGGATATCCGTGATCGGGCTACCTACAATCATCACATGACATTTAGTGAGATTGTGGATCAAGGGCTACTTGGGGAAGCCAAGTGGAACGAAAGGAAGAAGAGAGACGCCGAAGAGGCGAAGAAGAGGAGATGGGGAAATTCTGGACCCCAAGACCATTCTCGGCAACATCACTCCGGGAATGGAAGTTCATTTAGGGCGCCGGAACCGCCGGCAAAGAAGAACAAGGGTCCAGGAGGGCAAGGGCACAGTTTGGGGAGCGTGAGGCCACAAAGGTGTCTGAACTGTAACAAGAACCATGCCGGGAAGTGCAATGCACCACCCCGGTGTTACAAGTGTGGTAGCACAAGTCACCTCAAACTTTCTTGCCCTATGCTAAATGGAGGGGGACCATCGGGAGTCCCTGAAGGACCTACGCCTGGTAGGGGGCGTGCGGGACCATCTCAAGGCGGCACGGGAAGGAGCGGACCCACGGCTAGTAACGTCGCGTCCGTTAATCAAGGGAGGACCCAAGCACGGGTGTATGCAATGACCGAGGCCGATGCTCGGGCCAACCCGGACTCCATTGCAGGTAATCTTTTGACCTCACATGCGTTTTATTCATTCGTTTGAAGTAAAACATTCGAAAAATGTGTTTTACCCGACCGGGTATCCCTATAGACCCGACCGGGTATGGGGAATTCTTCAGGTTCGAGGTTTGTACTCGTTCGAGCAAGTTTAGCAGAACCCTTCGATTTTGGTAAATCCAGCCATACTCGATCGGGTATGGTATGATACTCGATCGAGTATTAGTAAAATTTTGTTTTTAAGGCGTGTGCTCGATCGAACGTCGTGGGCAGAAAGCAATGTGACCAACAGTTTGAGCAATACCCGACCGGGTATGGACATATACCCGACCGGGTATAGTGTAGTTGTTCGAGTACGAGGTGGGTACTCGATCGAGCAAAACTGACAGGAAATTTCTTCCTTGGGGAATCGGGCAATACCCGACCGGGTATAGGCTAGTACCCGACCGGGTATAGAGCAACTCCAAGCCTAATTTTTCTTTCAGCTCCTTTTCACTCCGGACGATGGGTGGTGTTTCTTACATGGCTTGTATATGTAGGAACACTAAAGATCAATGGTAGACAGGCGAGAATTCTCATCGACACCGGAGCGCAACGTTCATTCATGAGCGAAGCGTTCGCCAAGGGATTGGGCATGCCGTTAGTAGCAATGGCGCAACCCTTGCTGGTCTCTACACCATTGGGAGATGACGTGGAAAGGAAACACTACTATCCCTCATGTAATGTGGAGATAGGGGAGCATCGTCTAATGGGAGACTTTGTACCGTTAGACATGCTTGAGTTTGATGCTATATTGGGCATGGATTGGCTTGAAAAACACCACGCGAAGGTAGATTGCTACACCAAGGTGTTAGAACTAAAAGATGGCGAAGGGAACACCCTATGCTTCGAGGGAGATAGAGGGAAATTCAACCCTTGCATCATATCGGCTATGAGGGCAAGACGTATGATGAGGAAGGGATGTCATGCTTACTTAGCCTATGTCGTAGGCAAGGAAGGCAAAGGGGAGAGTCTCACGGAAGTAAGAGTGGTGAGTGAGTATCCAGAAGTTTTCCCGGAAGAACTCCCGGGACTCCCACCAGATCGAGAGATCGAGTTTGAGATCGAGGTTGAACCAGGCACCAAACCCATCTCAATTCCTCCGTATCGAATGGCACCGGCTGAACTTCAAGAGTTGAAAGTTCAATTGGAAGAGCTACTAGATAACGGATTCATTAGACCGAGTCATTCACCATGGGGAGCACCGGTACTCTTTGTTAAGAAGAAGGATGGCACAATGAGAATGTGTATCGACTACCGTCAATTGAACAAGGTCACGATAAAGAACAAATATCCTTTGCCAAGGATTGACGACTTGTTTGATCAATTACGGGGGGCAACCGTGTTCTCCAAGATCGACTTGAGGTCGGGCTACCATCAACTAAGGATCAAGGAGAGTGACATACCCAAAAGTGCATTCCGTACAAGGTATGGTCACTATGAGTTCCTAGTGATGTCATTTGGGCTTACGAATGCCCCCGCGGCATTCATGGACCTCATGAACCGAGTATTCCATCAATACTTGGACCAATTCGTCATAGTGTTCATTGATGACATTTTGATATACTCCAAGAACGAAGAAGAACATGAGAAACATCTAAGACTCGTGCTTGAAACACTGCGGGAAAAGCAACTCTTTGCCAAATTCTCTAAATGTGAATTTTGGCTTGGGGAGATCGGTTTTCTCGGGCATGTTGTATCGGGCTCGGGCATTTCAGTTGATAACTCGAAGATTGAAGCAGTCACTAATTGGGAGAGGCCCAAGAATGTGAAGGAAATAAGGAGTTTCCTTGGTTTAGCGGGGTATTACCGCAAATTCGTGGAGAAGTTCTCAGTGATAGCGTCTCCACTCACGAAGCTCACTAAAAAGGGAGCTAAGTTTGTGTGGGATGACAAGTGTGAGAAGGGGTTTCTTGAGCTAAAGAAACGGTTGACCGAAGCGCCAGTACTTGCCCTACCCGTGCAGGGGTTGGGGTATGACATTTACAGTGATGCTAGCATCCAGGGGCTTGGGTGCGTACTGATGCAATCAGGTAAGGTAATTGCTTATGCTTCACGGCAACTGAGGAAACATGAAGTAAATTACCCCACTCATGACCTTGAGCTAGGAGCTGTGGTGTTTGCTTTGAAGATTTGGAGGCATTACCTCTACGGTGAGGCGTGTCACATCTATACTGATCACAAGAGTTTGAAGTACGTGTTCACTCAGAAAGAGTTGAACATGAGGCAAAGAAGATGGATGGAGTTAATCAAGGATTACAACTTGATTATTGATTATCATCCAGGTAAAGCTAATGTGGTTGCTGATGCTCTTAGTAGGAAAAGTTCATCAGGGGTTTTACTCACATGCCTACGAGCATTGAGGGCACATGTGGAGGTATCCACGGATGGGGCTTTATTGGCCAGATTCGAGGTGAGACCCACCTTATTAGACGAAATCAGAACGCGTCAAGGCAATGACGAGGAATTTCAGAAAATCCGAGAACGAATGCTTATGGGGCCCGTGGAGGGTTTCCGTGAGAGAGAAGATGGACTCCTACTATTCAAGGAGCGAGTGTGTGTACCGTTAGATGAGGAGCTCCGGAAATCTATTCTTGAGGAGGCTCACTCATCTGCGTATGCCATGCACCCAGGTGGAACAAAGATGTACCGAGACTTGAAAGAAAGTTACTGGTGGTCAGGGATGAAGAGAGAGATTGCAGAATATGTCAGTCGTTGCCTTACCTGTCAGCAGGTTAAGGCAGAGCACCAACACCCGGCAGGATTATTACAACCACTTACCATTCCAGAATGGAAATGGGAGCATGTTACTATGGACTTCGTGGTAGGTCTGCCACGGACGGTTAGGAACTACGACGCGGTATGGGTGGTGGTTGATAGGCTGACCAAGAGTGCTCATTTCCTACCTATCAACACTACTTATACGCTTGAGCGACTGGCCAAGTTGTATACAGATGAGATCGTGAGACTGCATGGGGTTCCGGTTACTATAGTGTCGGATAGAGACCCACGGTTCACATCACGGTTTTGGCCTAAGTTCCAGGAATCCATGGGAACGAAGTTGAGGTTTAGCACGGCATTCCATCCTCAAACGGATGGGCAATCGGAACGGGTGATTCAGATTTTGGAGGACATGTTGAGGGCATGTGCCTTGGAGTTCCAGGGAAGTTGGGACAACCAATTGGCATTGGTGGAATTCGCCTATAACAACAGTTATCAGGCAAGTATAGGCATGCCTCCATACGAGGCATTGTATGGGAGGAAATGTCGGACACCTTTGTGTTGGGATGAGGTTGGCGAGGCCAAGCTTGAGGGTACTGAGCTAGTTGAGATCACCAAGGAGAAGGTGAAAGTCATTCAGGATAGACTCAAGGCTGCCCAAGACCGGCAGAAGAGCTATGCAGATAAACGTCGGAGGACGTTGGAGTTTGAGGTCGGTGAT